GTTCATCCCCTTCCCCCTCTATCCCCTCCCGCTTCCACTTCCCCCTCCACCCCTTTCGCCTCCCCAACCCCGTCCCCCCGAGAACCACACCGAGGCGTTTCCCCTTTGACCTCGCGCGAGTGTAGATGACGTGGTTTTGAGGCGGGTGATGACAAGGCCCTTAGATCAGAGCGTGTAACTCGCCTGAGGGGCTCAGGTCGCGTCCACAATGGCAGCGAGAGGCGCGGACAGGCGGGAGCGGGTGTATGCTGGCTTGAGCAAGGTCTACGTAAGTACTTATCTAGACCTCGCGTTTGTGTCCTCACTAAATGAACTTGATGAGTAAAATGAATAATCTTTTTTTCTTATGACCACGTGAATCAAGCAAAAATGGATTACTATTAGCTCTTCCCCCGTTCGGCCGCTGCTATTGTGGACATATCTGTAGGTTACGATTTTACAAAGGGGGGGGGGAGAGAGAGAGAGAGAGAGAGAGAGAGAGAGAGAGAGAAGAGAGAGAGAGAGAGAGAGAGAGAGAGAGAGAGAGAGAGAGAGGAGAGAGGAGAGAGAGCCGCCACATAAACCCACACTTGACCCCCTTGTGCACGCGAACACACACATGTACTCCAGCCTCTCACCTCCGTCGGAAACGCTATTACGCGAGCCTCTCACACAGGGCGCGCTGGGAAGGAGCCACAGAAGGACAAGGTAGGAGGCTAGCGACGATATGAATGAAAGAGAGAGAGAGACAGACAGATGGGGGAGAGAGAGATGAAAAAAGGGAGATAAAAAAGGTGTTAAGAAAAAAAATAATAAGAGAGAGACAAGAGAGACAATCAGAGACACGTATCTAGCTTAAATCTCCCGTACTCTCACCCTCTGCAACAGAGACCCGTCGTTACCTGTCTCCCTGGCACTGAAAGGTCAAAGGTCACGGTGGAATTATGGCGTATTATCGCAGAGAAAGAATACACGTCACTCACGGCGAGAGCTGGCGTTTTTTTCACCCGGCTGGAGGAGACTCGCTTCAATTCAAATGACGGCGCGAGTGTTCCAGTCCAGGTTCGTTTCTCAGAGGTGGGCTCCTCGTGGTTAGACATTCCTCCTCGAAATATTCTCAGAGGTGGGCTCCTCGTGGTTAGACATTCCTCCTCGAAATATTCTCAGAGGTGGGCTCCTCCCGAAAATAGCACGGGTCTTCGAGCAATACCAATAAGTGAGAATCGCCAAGGCTTTGCCTCTACTGAGAAGCTGACTGTTCTTTACCTTTGTTGTGGCTTTCCGTTCAAAGAGGGTGCTCAAGCTTACTAAAATATCGATGTCTGAGTCTTACGGGGAGGCTGTGGCGTCTGGAAATGATCTTTCGAGGAGGCTGTGGCAACTGGACGGAAAATTACCGTAGAATTTGAATGCATTATTAGCGCTATTATTCTTTCGGTTTTTGCCCACCCCCTCTTTGTGATTCTTCTCTTACTTCTGTTCGCTTCCACGTTTAATTATCATTATTGTTTGTTATTATTATTATCATTATTATTACTATCATTATCACTATTATTATTATCATTATTATTAATCTTATCATCATCATCATCATTACTGTTATTTTAATCATCACCATTAACATCATCATCCTCTTCATCATCATTACTATTATTATCATTATCATAATTATTATTATTATCATGATCACTTTCATTTGCCTTATGACTGTAATCTTTGCATCCTATCACCATTACGAATTAATGCTTCCACTACTACTCCTTTCGCAACAACATCAACTAATCAAACCAGGAAAAGCTCAATATTAAAAAGAAAGAAAGAAAGAAAGAAAAAAAAACTGTTGTATCCCCGACAGACCCTCCCCCTTCCCCCCGTGACGTCAATCAGAAATAACCAGGCAGCATTAAATTCCCCGCTCTTTTTTCTTAAACAAACTCCTCGAGAAAACCTCACACACAAACTAGACTGCTCATTACTGGGGATGGAGTAACCGAGAAGGCGAGCGTGAGGCGTAATGAGCTAGAACGGCAAGGCGGCATACACACGCATACATCATGCAAGCACACGAAGTGCACACATACACATAACAGTGTCCTGTACTTATACATACACATAGACGTATTCATATCCATATACACACTCATATTCATATACATATTCATACACATATATGTATATGAAACACCCACACGTAATTCGCACATGTCACGCACGCGCGCGCACACACACACACACACACCACAACACACACACACACACACACACACACACACACAACGCACACACACACACACACACACACACACACACACACACGCACACACACACACCACACACACAACACACACACGCACACACACAACACACTCTCTCATAAACACAAACATAAACACAGACACACACACATACAAGAGAGAGAGAGAGAGAGAGAGAGAGAGAGAGAGAGAGAGAGAGAGAGAGAGAGAGAGAGAGAGAGAGAGAGAGAGAGAGAGAGAGAGAGAGAGAGAGAGAGAGAGAGTAGGAATAAAGATGAAGGTCGATTAAAAAAAGAAAATTCTAAAAATACCGACACCCAATGACAACAATGTAAACAACAGTAAATGAAAGTGAAAAAAAGGAAAAAAATACTCGGATTTCGTGTACAATGGGACGAAGAACAAGGGAAAAAAATGTTTCAGCTTGAAAAAAAATGGAAAAAAAATAACCATGAAAGTAAGATTATCCGATAAAAGCTGATGGAACAACAAATATGAAAAAAGTTAGATTTAAAAAATATTCAAAAACGATTTACATTTCTTTAAAGAATAAAAAAACATAACATTCTCACGTGAAAGATAAAAAATATATATAACAATCTAAAGTGAAAGGTTAAAAAACAACTGGGATTCAATGCAATATATATTTTTGTGGCTAGGAGAGAGGACGAGAGAGTGAGACCAAAATAGGAAGGCAAGGAACTAGCAGAGGACAAAGAGATATCGTAGAATATACATAAACAAATACATTGCATACATATGAGCGTACGTACATATATGCATACACACATACATACATTCATACATATATTCATACATACATACATATCTATCTATCTAAATTATACACACACACATCCACACACACACACACACACACACACACACACACACACACACACACACACACACACAACACACACATACACACACACACACATACACTCTTTCTATATATATATATATATATATATATATATATATATATATATATATATATATATATATATATATATATATATACATATACATACCGTAACCTTTCCATACCATATCAACTATCCTCTTAAAATTAGTACAAACACCAAGAGACTACTCACCGAGCCCTTCTTGCCAGGGAACGAGAAGAAGACGTCAGGGCCAGAGCGGTTGGGCATCTGTCGGAGGACCCCCAGGAGCTTGGCGGAGTGGCGCGG